ATTCCTGAATGGATGGTCCTCCCGGGCCACAGGGACCTTCTTGCTGGCCAGGCCCTGAAGACAGGAGGTGATCTGGCCACGGGGGCTGTCTCCTACAGCTGCCTGGTCTTGGCTGCCGCACCATCCACTGCATTCCCACCCTGACTCTGCCCCCTCCAGGCCCTCCTCAGCAACTGGGAACCAGGCACCCAGAGCCTCCCCTTTATAACATCTGACTCATATGCTAAATCCAAACAATTCATTGCCTATTTCAAAATAGCTAGAAGAGGAGAGTGTGAATGTTCCCAACACAAAATAATGATAAATGTTTGGGGCAATAGACATGCTAAACACCCTGACATTACACATTGTATTTATATACCAAAACACCCCACTGTACCCTATAAATACATACAGTTATTATGTGCCAACTTACAATGACAATAAATAACAGACTCCTCCAGGCCCTCTGCCCTTCCAGAGGGCAGCCAGCACCTCCACACAGACCTTCTGAAGCCACTGCCCTGATGGTCTGTCCTCCAGGCAGGGACGGGCACCAGAGCAAACTTTCAGCAGCCTCTCAGGTGTGTGCAGTGGGCCCTCTTCATTCAGAGAAGCTCTGCGTGCTAGGCCCTGGGGGCAGGGGCAGAGGAAGCACAGCTCCTGACTCCAGGGGCTGCCTGAGTGACGGCAGAGAAGGGCCCAGACGCTTCAACAGACTGCTATCATCCAGTGCGGTTGGTGTAATGAGATGCCCCAGATATTTTGGGATCCCAGAGGAGACACTTAATCCAAACCGGGTGGGAACAGGGGAACAGCGGGGACAGAGGGAGAGGAGGGCATGTCCAAGTGGGAGGCCCATAGGACCCCTCCCCCAGTGCTCAGACCAGCCCCTCCCACTCCAGAGGATGACCTCTGTAAAGGGGCAGGGGTCACAGAGCAACCCAAACTTTCTCAGCCACGTGCACTTGGGGCGCAGGCATCTGCAGCCATCACTTCCAGAGGCTCCCCTCTTCCTACAGCTTCCACTCTGGCCACGTTGACCCTGGTGGAGCTGGGACCCCAGTCTAAGGACAGGAGCAGCTGAAGGGCTGGCACCTACTCTGAGATTACAACCAGCAGTCCCAGCCCATCTGGAGAGGAGAATGCAGAGAGCGGACTGTGCTGCCCGCTGCCCACTGGGCTTCAAAGAAGGGTATGGAGCAGGCGCTGAGACTCACAGAGACACTTCACTTCCGTGCATGGCTAGCTGACCAGCAGCCTGACCAGGTGGGGTGGAACCCACCAGGTGTAGACTTCTCTGTCTCTCTTTACTCCCCTCTGTGCCTGTGCCCTCCTGGCCTGCCCTCTCTCCTTCTCTCCCCACCACCCCTGATAAACTGTAGCCTCTGCTTCTCCCTTGCCCCCATCCTACTCAGTTAAAGACCCCAGAGCCAAAAATGAAGGACGATCCTCACTAACTTTGAAATAGTGTTACAATCTCTAGTCTTAACTTTAAGGAAAAAAATGTTGGGCCAGATGGTGGTGCAGTGACAAAAGCACTCTTCAAGACTAATCTACATGGAAGATTCTGGGTTAATGTCCAGAGACCTCCCTGAGTACGTCCATGATCCAGGGAAGGCCTGGGCTGTGTGGATCACGGTGTGGGACACTACTGGGGGAGCTGCTCACCCCTCCCAACACTCATGGAAGAAATAAATAAATAAACTTAAAAGAAAAAGGCAAATGAATGAACTGTTTCAAATGAAACTCCTTTGTCAGTAGCCCTGGATGTTTTTAGTTATCTGATTTAAGACGTTCCACAAAATAAAGTTTCATAAAACAACATGATTTCACAACACCTCAGCTGTGTCAGGCTCACTTCCTAACACCTGGTTCATCTGTTTTACTCAAAACGTCCTCGGTGACATGGTTGTTCTGCATAGCCAGGTATTTCAAAGTCTGCCTCCTTAGATCCTAACCTGTTTTTTAAGTCAGTGCGACTTTTTTTCAATGAAATACAGAATTCCTGCACTCTGAATCAGAGTGTGCTGAGCATAATTTCAAGTTCTCCCGATGACTCAGGGCTATCACGTAGTCTCCAGTCACGATCTGAGGTGTTGTCCCGGACTGTGTGCTTCGAATTCCTGTGTCTGCTTTTCATTATTCTCCCTCCCTCACTGCTGATTGCCAAGTAATGACAAAGACAGGAACATGAGTGATGCTAAGTATTTTCTGGGCATTAGCTCATTTAATTTTCCCAAGGTGGGTCCTTTCATTATCCTTGTTTTGCGGATCAGGAAACTGGCTCAGTGCCTTGACCAAGGCTACTCAGTCCTATGTGCCTGGCTGTCACTTGAACCCAGTTGGTCTGACTCCGAAGCCCACACTTTTATCACCACACTTCACCTCATGTGGCCTGCCTCTACGAGTCCCTCTCCCCACTTCTAATCTGCTTCTTTACATCTGCCACAGGATAAGAAACGAGACGGCCAGCTCATCAGTACTCTGCATAAAGCAAGAGTACATAGGAGATGAGGTAGAGATGCCATAGAGGGAGAAGGCGGTGGGAAAGGGCATCCTCCATTAAAATATGAACATTGTCACTGCTAAAGGGTACAGGGTTTCTTTGGAGAATGATGAAAATGTTCTAAAGTGGACTGCGGGAGGCAGTAAGTGGTGTGGTAGTTAAGGCGCTGGACTCCCACATGGCCAACCATGGTTCGATTCCTGGATCTGGAAGCTTGCTTTCTCACTTTTCCTCTTTTTCTCTGTCTCTCTCCCTGTCTCTCTCTGGTGAGTGTGTGTGCCTGATAGCAAGCTAGGAAATAATAATAATTAATAAAATTAAATAAATAATTCTTTTAACGAAAAAGAATTCTTCTTTTAAAATAAAAGGACTGTGGTGATGGTTGCAAATATGATCAAAACTACTGAGATTGGAAGGTATATGAATTATCTCATCTCCATAAAGCCACAGAAGAAGAAAAAGGGGAGAGGTGAGGAGGTGAGCTAGAGGAGCCCTGCTGAGCACTTTGGCTGCTCAGAAATTCCTCGTATTGACACTAGTGTTGGCTAAGTTCCAATACCTGCATTGGCAGGAAAGGTGAACTCCAGCTAGCTGATGTGGGTGAGATTCAGACTGAGCAAGAGACAGCTCTGGGTACCAGCAGGCTTCTCCTGTTCTCATCGTTGCCTCCTAACATGGCTTCCATAGATAGCTCACCCCTTCGAGCTCAACCGTCTCTCCCAGAGAATCTCAGCAGAGACCTGGCTAAGAGATGCTTCCTAAGGAGACAGCCACAGCTGTCTTGTTGGTCTCTGGAAAAAACGTTAAAGTCTGAACATTTGCATAAATGCACCCCAGGGAGCTGTGAAACTCAAAGACAACATCAGGCATGCACAAGCCCCAAGGACCCTAGGGACTCTGCCAGGTAGACCAGGGACCAAGCTTTGTTTCAGAAAAGAAGCCACTAGGGGGACCAGCAGTTAGCGTAATGGCTATGTTGCTGGACTCCCATGTAGTCGACCGTGGTTCGAGTCCCGGACCCGGTGGCTTAAACTCATGCCGGGTGCATGTGTGTGCGTGCCCAAGATCCCAAGACGAGAATGGAGGAGAAGGAATTGCGGTGTGACCATCCCCTCTGGGGGGTGATTTGTTGCTTTCTATCTCTCTGTCTCTCTCTCTGTCTTTCTGGTGAGTGCATGCACCCAATAAGAAAAAAAACTCTCAAAAAAAAAAAAAAAAAGAAGTCACTGGGCAGAGGGGACACTTTGGCCTGCTTCCCTCCAGTTCATTCAGAAGCCACAATTATATTCCACAGAGTGGCATTAAGTGGCATTCCAGTGTCTATAGACCGTGGGACCAAAGCTCCACTTCTGCCTGAAGACAGGATAACCTCATGGTTAAAGTGTGGAGTCAAGGGCCAATCTCACAGTCTAGCAGTTAAGGGGGCTGGATCCCACATGGCTAACTGAGGTTTGAGTCCCGACCCCAGTGACTTGCAAACACAGTGAGTACATGTGTGTGCATACGCAAAATCCCGACAGGATGGAGAAACGGAAGAGAAGGGATTGCAGTGTGATCACGCCCCATGGGGGGGGTGTGCTTTCTCGATCTCTCTGCCTCTCTCTAGCGAGCACACATACCCTGTGGTAATTAAATAAAATAAAGCATGAGGTCTAGCATCAAAAGGTGTGAGTTCCAGTCCCTGCTCTGTCACCTACTTGCCATGTCTTTTTGTGTAAGCCAATTTGACTTATTTAAGCCTTTGTTTCCTAATCTGCAAAGCCAGGATGTTAGGAATACGTACTTGAGAAGCTTGACATGTGGATTAGAGAATGAACGCAAACCGCACAGGCTGGTACTTGGGCTTACGGAGAGCACTGGATGGCAGGGGCTGCGACTGCTGCCCATCTCAGCAGCAGGAAGTTGGGTGAGAGGCTAACATGTGCACGGAGCATGCCACGGCCCAGGCACTGTGCTGGGCTTTACATGTGAATTCCCTCATTCCTCACAACCTCCTGAGAAGGCAGCTGCTATTATCATCCCCACTTTCCAGATGAGCAAGAAGCTGGAGCCCAGAGAGTTCCTTAGTAGCCTGGGGTCACAGAGCTTGGATGGGAGTGGTGGAAGAGGTCCAGGGAGCTGCAGTCACTCTGCTAGATCCTGGAGAGCCAGAGGGAGCCAGACACAAGGAGAGTCAAATGGGGCAGGTGGACACAAACCAAGACCCCACAACCCAACAGGCCGGGGCAGAGCAAAGTGTCTGGAGAGGAGTTTGCAGAGGGATTTCTGGAAACCCAGAGCATCCCTTGGACTTGGAGTAAAGAGCTTTCCAGTTTCCCTGTAGCCTGGGCACTGCTGGGAAGAGCAGTTTCTTTTCTGCAGATGCTGGGCCCAGCATGACTCTGTAATGGAAAGTGGCCTCTGAAATGTATTGTTCCTAGCAATAAAAAATGTCAGGACGCCTTCTCCTCTCATTATCGAGGGCCCCAAATGCTCAATTCATCACACACAGAAGGCCCTGCAGACCTTTTAGCTCATGAAGGCAGCCAGTGAGTTACTCTGGAGGAGCGGGGTGAGGGCCTCTGCAGTCATACTCTCCTTCACCCTCCAGGGATAAGCACGCTATGGAGGCTGGGGCTGGGGCCCTCCACCTTCCCCAGCACACGGCTAGCGCTCAGGGGTTGTCCCATGGCATCAGCAGCCCCTGCCTTCCTGGGCTCACAGCCCAGCCGAGGAAAACTCCAATCTTACAGGTGGTGAGGGGCCATTCTTGTCTCTATACAACAGTCAACTTTTGGAACTTCTTTCCAGAAAAAGTTAGGAATGTGTTGAAATTCTACACTACCCAGAAAAGAAAGGACTTGCCTTTGAAAATGAGGAAGTAGGGGATGGCAGGTGGTATGATGGTTAAGGAGCTGGACTCCCACATGGCTAACTGTGGTTTGAGTCCTGGACTTGGTGGGTTGCCTTCTCACTTTCTCTCTCTCTCTCTATCTCTCTATCTCTATTTCTATCTCTCATCAAATTAAAAAATAATAATAGTAAATAAAGTTAAATAAATAATTCTTTTATAAAAAAGAGGTGTTAGTCTGGGAAGGCTGTGATCACTGATTAGCCCCAGAGAAGGCTCCAAGTTCCACACTGTGAACTACCTAGGTCTGCAGTGTGCGGGGCAGGTGGGCACCCAGCCACAGCCTGGCTAGGCACTTCCCCAGGGCTTTCACTCTTTAATTCTGCCGTGCAGGTGAGATAAGCTGTGGACGAAGGAGAGCCTCCCGTTGCACTTGGACTAAGTTCCAAACTTCTTATCAGAGAGCACAAGGCCAGCCGTTAGGCTCAGCACTGCTCCCCTGAACAGACCGCTAGCTATTAATACATGGACTTCCGCGAGGTTCTTGAAGGCCTTTGCCCTGGCTGACCGAAAAAGAGGTAAAACTGACGTTTCCAAAGAAATCTTAAAATTTCCAAAAAGAAGAGGAAACGATGCCTGGACTCTGGCAGAAATGCACTCGCTGGCACAGAAGCAGAGATGACAATGGTAGATACCAGAAGCTCCCAGGCCGGGGGTGGGAAGGTCGGGAGAAAATGAGCCACAGACACAAGCATGCATGTGAAGAATGCACTAGGTTATGGAAGTGTATACACGAGCTGGCTAAACATGACCCTGAGAATTCAAAATATACATTTAGGGGGAAAAACTCTGATAGAACTATTATCAAATGTATACAACATAATGTAATATTCGATGTTGAAGAGAATAAACATATCTATATCCTTGATTTGATTATCACACACCAAATGCATGCTTTGAAAAACCACCCTGGACCCTACAAGGTGTGCAGGGATTATTTGTAAACCAGGAATCATAATTTCGAAATAATATATATGCTTAATGGAAAATAGTCTATATTTATGCATATCATTTGTCATCTCAAACATAGCAGGGAGAAAGTGGTTTTTGATATTTTCAACTTAACAGAGGCGCCGGTAAATAATTATGTAATAAACAGTGAGTGACATGGTATCGGTTAAGAGATCAGCGGAGTTTCTGGGACGTGCCAGCCCCCAGAGCGCCTCCTCCCAGGACACACACCCGCAGCCCGCCAGGTCTACCTGGCTCTGGGCTCGTGAAAGCTGAGTCTCGGTGACAAACCTTTTGGCGGTCTCCACTGACTTCTGCTCCGCCAGCTCCTTCTGCAGCTCCCTCTCCTTGGCTTCCTTCTGCCCAATGGGGCAGTCCTCGGGCACGGTGAAGAGGGACAAGGCATCTTTGCTATCCTCTTCTCGGAGCACTTTAGCAAACACCTTCTCGGCCAGGAGGCGGACTTGTTCATCCACTTCAGAGATGTTCAGCTTGGGGAACTGGCGCGGCATCTCGGCTAGCAAAGAAAGAACTAGGGTTAACCTTCATGAATTCCTGGATGGCCCAAGTCACCAGCATGGGGAAGGGCAGGTGGGCACTGAAAGGGAAGGCCTACCTGAGGAAGGCCTTAGGGCGGGAGGGCGCTGAAATGAGGGAAGGCCTACCTGAGGAAGGCCTTAGGGCAGTTGTCTGCTCGGGCCTTCCCCAGCCCAAGCCCAGCGTGCCTGAAGTTAAAAGGAGCTCGTAAGTAATTGTGTGTGAAGCGCGTAGGGCCGCTTGCATGTCACGAGAAAGCAAGCTTTAGGAAGTCAGAGAATGAAGAGTGTGTGCTTCCATCTTCCTGGACTCAGGGGATCTGCTCACTGCGACTGCCCTGTGCTCCTGACCCCATGTGCATGACCGAGAAGACACAGGAGACACTTCTGAGCCCTCTCTCCTCCAGTCTAGTAGGGGGCTGTTCCTGCTGCCACAATGATCACACCTCACTCCCGACTTCACAGAGGGGAGGGCCAAAGCCCAAAGGGTTTAAAACTAGCTTAAGGTCCCACAAGGTTACAGCAGAGCCCTGGGAAACCCAGAGGGACATCTTCGTGACATGAAATGAAGCCTTTCACTGAACAAAGAGAATCTGCCATCCCGGTTGCACGGTCCCCACGGTCCAGAACCCTCTAAACAGACACAGCCAATAAAATAAAAGTTTGGGGACAGGGATACTCCATCTGGTTGACAACTCACTCCCTCAAAGAACCTCTTCTTAGTCACCTCCCTGTCCGCTGGTTCCTTATATCGGTAACTGACCCTTACCACCTGGCTTCTCTCTCTCTCCTTCTTTCTTTTCCTTCTCTCTGAAAATACTTACATAGATCTAAAATGTACACTGCCAAGTGCTTCACAGTTACTAACTCAGTTCATCCCTAACCACTGTGCTGCTTCTCTTTGTCTTTTGGGTGTGAGGGCAGGGTCTCTCAGGGTCCCTAGCACACCACTTCTGGGATGGACGAGCAACAGAGCATCTTCACCAGGGGGGCTCTGGAATGGCAGTTTCCTGTCCACCTCTTACCACCACTACATGAAGGCTGGTTTCAAGAGAGAAGTGGTTTTGTCAACCAGACAGGCAAGGTTGAAGGGGAGACCATGGCCAGTTGCTGTCTGGCGGGGAGAGGGAGCGATTACTGGAGAGGGGACTCCCCTGGCCAACGGGGACAGTTACTCTTTGACCTCACAGATTTCTCACCTGTGAGACAAAGACTGGACCAAGTGTCTCCAAGGCCCTCTTGGTTCTAAGTAGTGTAATTCTATGTACCAGAGAGAGGACCCAGTACCCCAGCTGGGCTCACTACTCTGATCTTATTAATCTGCCACACGGCAGGAAGGGGGAACCAAGGCCAGGGACAGGCAGTAGCGTGTCTGGGGGCCTCTTGTCCATGAAACCAGTTTCCTTCCCCTCCACACCCAGGGCAATGCCTTTCCCAGGCCTCTCTTACCCCACAGGGTTGAGTGAGAAGGAGCTGAAGAGGAAGAGCTAGCTCAGCCCACACCAGGCTGGACTGAGGATAGACACCAGGACAGAGGGCCTGGCAGAGACGAAGAGGAACAGGGCTGACTGCAGCTTTCATCTCCTGAGAGCAGAGAGAAGGGGATCTGGAAGCCATCAGAGCAGAGGTTCAGAGAAGGTGACAGGGAGAAAAAGGCTGGAGAGCACAAAGAACCAGACCCAGGGGGCCCTGTCAGGCCAGAACAAAGTAGGACCCTGTTCCCCAACTCAGAGTCAAGTGTAGGAGCTCCAAACCCTCAGAATACACAGAAAGGGTAGCCAATACCATAAAGCACCATCCCAAGAATTTCTAGAAGTGGGGTTTGATCAAGAAGCCCCACTTCTGCCATAGGGCGGGCGTCACCACGCCCCAAGAAACCCCACTTCTAGAAATTTCTTCTAAGAAGAAAATCTGAAGGAAGGAAAGTGACAAAGATATTTACCTGTGCTCTGTATATACATAGCTTTAAAATGTCCAAACTAGATCATACTCACTTGACAAACATTGTTAACCAGCAAAATTGTAATTATGAGACTGGTGTACTCACACACTTTAAAATCTTGTAAAATAACAGTAAATGAAACGTTAATACATAGAACCGTACCCAGGCTTTGACAACAATGATATGAAAATGCATCACCTCAAGGACAAGGGCTGCAGAGAGACACAGACTCTGAACGACAAGGTGGCAGGGTTGCCTGGGTGTGACAGGTTATCTTATTTTATTGGGTCATCAGAAAAGTCATGATATATTTTTCCATATTTTTCTCTGCAAAATTGCGTAGTAACTTTTCCAACCACCCAATATAATTAATGTTGCTATATAACGTCATTCTCTAACAAATACAAAGACAATGAAGAGGCAGTGAACAGACTTAAGACTTTATAAAAAAGAAATTTAGGAAAACAAATCAAACTTCTCATTCCAGGTTGCCTGGGTGTAACAGGTTATCTTATTTTATTGGGTTACCAGAAAAGTCATGACATATTTTCCTATGTCTTTCTCTGCAAAATTGCATCATAACTTTTCGAAAACCCAATATAATTAATGTTGCTACATAATGTCATTCTCTAACAAATACAAAGACAATGAAAAGGCAGTGAACAGACTTAAGACTTTATAAAATGAAAGAAATTTAGGAAAATAAATCAAACTTCTCATTCCAGCAGATGTCAGCAGTCTTCCACCTAACCCTTCATACAGAAAGGCCAGCCCAAAGGGACCAACGCCACAGAGACCCGCCTCTGCTTCAGCTCCTCCCCTGCAGAGAAGCGGCCCACCACCACCTTCCTACCCCTTCCTCACCCACAGACACACCCTGCCAGGCCCCCTCAGGAACAGGTGTTGACAGGGGTCCTTCATGTCTGAGGGTCTTATGCCAGATACTGCCACGCTTGGCACGGTCACGTCAGCATACAATGATCTCCCTTATCTGTGGCGGATAAGTTCTAGGACCCCCAGTAGACGCTTCAAACAACAGAGAGTATTAAGATCAAACTCTGTAGATACAGTGTTTTTTTCCCTTTACATACATATCTATCAAGTCATCGAGGAAGTCATGACATATTTTTGCGTAGAAAAACAAAACAAAAAAAATCATGACTTTCCCAACAACCTAATACTGTAAAGTGTAATTTATAAAGGAGGCACAGTAAGAGATCAACCACAATAAAACAAGAAAATAGAATAATTATAGCAATAGACTGTGACAGAAGTTTTATTAATGCGGTCTCTCTCTCGGTCTCTCTCAAAATATCTCATTGTGCTGTACAGTACTCAACTATTTTTGGACCACAGTTGACAATGGGTAACTGAAGCCACAGAAAGCAAAACTGTGGATAAGTGGACACTGTTGGGCTTTTCCAGCTGCATTTTTCTACAAAATATCTTCCTTTTTCGTTAGCTTAAGAAGTTTAGATGGGGGTCAGCAGGTGGCGTGGTGGTTAAGGGCACTGGACTCCCATGTGATTGACCGTGGTTCAAGTCCTGAACCTGGTGGCTTGATTTCTACTTTCCCTCTCTGTTTCGCTCTGTCCCTTTCAGGTCAAATTAAAAATAAATAAATAAATAAAGTTAAATAAAATAATTCTTTTAGGGTCCAGCAGTTGGCGTCATGGCTATATTGATGGACTCCCATGTAGCCGACTGTGGTTCGAGTCCCGGACCTGGTGGCTTAAACTCACACTGGGTGCATGTGCGTGTGGGCCCGAGATCCCAAGAGGAGAATGGAAGAGAAGGGATTGTGGTGTGGGCATCCTCCCTGGGAGGTGATTTTCACTTTGTGTCTCTGTCTCTGTCTTTTTTTTTTTTTTTTTCGAGAAATCACCCCCGGGGGGGATGGCCATGCTGCAATCCCTTCTCCTCCATTCTCCTCTCGGGATCTTGGGCACGCTTGCACACGTTCCTGGCGTGAGTTTAAGCCACTGGGTCTGGAACTCGAACTGCAGTCGACTACATGGGAGTCCAGTGACTAGCCATTACGCTAACTGCTGGTCCCTCTCTCTGGCAAGCACAAGCCCACTCAAGTCTTCAGTAGATCCACTACCCGTGACATAAGTAACCAGCGAAGAATCCTTTCCATACCACACTCAGGTATAGACCGAGCAGCTCACGTGGCTGCTGGGCTGTCAGGGGTCTTAGCAGCACATCTGCTGTCTTCTGGACATTTCTGGCAGACCGCTTCTCCCCAGCCCCTTCCCCTCCAGAGTTCTTCCCTCTCAGACCTCCCGACACTTGCCAGGCCAGGCAAGCCAAGGAGAGCCCACTCTGCAGAGGCTTGTTCATGCTTGGCTTTCAACGCTTTGTCAGCTGAAGCCAGCGGGCTTGGAAGGCTGACTGTGAATTCACCAGCATCAGTTGGCTAGTGATACAACTTATCTCTATTACACACAACATGCTCCGATGAGCCTGAGCAAGTGCCCCAAAGTTGAAAGCTCAAAAACACCACCAGCTGCAACAAACAGAAACTTTTCACAGCCCCACAGCCCCTCCAGAAAGTAGAGTATCACTTATATCCTCTCCTTCTAAAACGATCTTGTTTCCTGCCTGGTAAGATGCCCGTGGCCACAGCCCACCACACAGACCTGAGCCTGGCGCCGGAGTCTCCATGGCCGATGCTGAGGATGGCCCGCGGGTGACACACTCGGGCCAGGTGCTGCCTGCGTGCTGCCCAGCAGGCTGTGCGAGTGGTGTGTGAGCGCAGCTAGCTGGGTCCTGTCTGCTGCAGTTGGGCTGGGAGGTCTCTGCTTTGCATATCTGTGAGCAGCAGTGAGCCAGAGCAGGAAAAGTCTGGGCTGGAAATTCTTCTGAGAATATGAAACGCAAGTGGAAAATTTCCAAGAGCCCAAAGGACAGGTAATGCCAGCTATCCAAGGCAAAACAACCGTGGCTTTCGGAGCACAGTATCCTGGCCCTCCCTGCTCACAGCCCTCACCAGGAAACACGAACGCCACTACTGTCCCAGCTCCGACAGGTTCAGGAGATCAGCCACAGCCTCCCTCTAACGCCCAGACTCCTCCTGAAAGCTGAGTAGCAACAAGCGATAGCATCACCTCTGCTGCTTCGTTCGAATCCCCCTTCAGGGCTGTCTGGCAACTGGGTTCATCTTATCAAGGAGATCTGTCTACACAAAGCTTCAGAAGCCGCTCCTCCACCAAAGCAGTCCTCCCGTAGGCACCCCAGGACTGGCAGGGGGAGCTCTGGCCCCAGTCACCAACATAAGCGCCTCCATCTCACCCATCATTAAAAGATTGGAGGTCCAGGAACCGCTTCCACCCTTCCCAGAGAAAGACAGGGACTGAGGGAGAGGGGATAACCTCAGGGCAGAGGCAGACAGCCGTGGAAGCCAGGACGACAAGCTGGCAGCCCTGTCCCACTCTTGCCCCCAAACAAGCTGCACATCACAGATGACCCGGCCACCTGAGGAGCTTTACCAGACCGCCCCACCCATACACACACCAGGAAAGACAGCCGCCCCATTGAGCCCACCCCTGCAGCTGCCCCTCCTTACTGCTGCTCCCAGCTTCCACGGCTCCCACGTGGGCCTCCAGCTCCAGCTCTGACAGCCTCCTGACGCTGGCTGGGGAAGGTGGGGCCTGCCAAGCAGTCCTCTAAACCAAGCAGGGCAGATGAAAACAGCCTCACAGGACACACGGCTTTGGGAGAGAGGAAGGCTCGGAACAGACACACAGCCTTCTAGTGACTGAGACGAGTGGCGTGGGTCTGGGAAATAACCGTGAGCAAAATGGCTATTTCTGTGATGCTGTTGAAATCTTGGGGAGAAGATCCCAGGAAGGACGGGTCAGTTGTTTACCGGGAGGCAAGCTGGAGCCCTGACTGGAGCCTGAGTCACCTCCTCATGTCCACTTGCGAGGATGTGCCCTGCCGAGCCCACATCATCATTCCTGCGAGCACAGAGCAGGATTATAGGCTGACACATGATCCGCAGCCACTGTGGAGTGGAGCTGCCCCGAGATTACGGCCACCTGTCCCCACAGCTGTTTTGTAAACACTGCAATTGGCAGGCTACAAGCAACCAACAGGGAGGGTAATATTTATTCATTAAATAATTAAACAGACTTATAGCAAGAGGAAAAAATCATCCAAACCCCTTAATACGAAGCCAGAAGGGAGAAGGGGCAAATGATTCCTTCTGCTGGTGTTTTGGCAAAGGTGGATACCTGGCAGATACTGTGCCCAGGGCATCCATGGATCTGAATCCAGCACATTCAGGAAATTTTATTTTATTTGTCAGAGGGTGCAGACACTCACCAGAGATAGGTAGAGAGAGAAAGAGAGAGAGAGAGAGAGGAGGCATCCCTCAATGTCGCACCACAATCCCTTCTCTGTTTTTGCATCCTGTGGGGATTTCTGGTACACATGCACACATGCCTGGCAGGTTTTTCAAGCTGCTGGGGCAAGACTAGAACCATGGTCTGCCATGTGAGATCCGATCTCCTTAGCCACGAGGCCACATGGCTGGCCCACATTCAGGGAATTCCATTCTGCATCTTTAACCAGATTCTGGAGAGCCTCCATCTAAACAAGCATCTCTCAGAGCACAGGTCACAGAACGTACAAGGTCAGACAATGCTGCTTGCCATAGTCCCTCTTGGGGGGGGGGGTTCACGCCCAACGTCTGCTGCAGATCCAATGCCTGAGATCCCCCACAGTAAAGGAAGCTGCTTAACTTTGTTTAACCCAATACTTATTTGACTGTTCCACCACTGCCATGATAGGAAAAAACACCTATTAATATCAAGTGGCTTGTAACCAGCAGATGGCGGAATGGCTATGTCTCTGGACTCCCATGTAGTCAACCGTTGTTTGAGTCCCAGACCCAGTGGCTTGAACTCACACCAGGACGTGTGCGTGCATGCCCAATATCCTGAAAGGAAAAGGGATTGCAGCGTGGTCAACCCCCTTGGGGGGTGACTTCTAGCTTTCTGTCTCTCTGTGTCTCTCTGTCTTTCTGGCGAGCGCACGTGCCCTATAGCAAAAACGTCTCAAAAAAAAAAAATCGAGTGGCACAGGCTTTGGAAAACACCTCCTACATTGACTCTTCATTTTCCAAGTTAGAGAAAGATGCCTTCTGGGGCTCATCAGATCCAGGCAGGGATGGACAGCAGCCCCACTAAGATGACATGGATTAGAGTAAGGGCTAGGGTCCTATGGGGCCAGGGGGATGGAAGACCCTCTAGAACAGGGGCAGTTCAGAAGCTAACTAAGCTCTCTCAGAAGGGCACTCTGCTCTGGACTCATACTTCTACCTTGAGCTACAGGGAGATAGGAAGTCACCTGTGTGGGGGCCAGACAGGGCCAACCACCCACTCTGAGAGTGGGAGCTGACAGAGGCTCTTTCCACCTGCCTGGTTAGCACTCAGCATTGGAGCTTCACAGCTCCGGGAAGATTTCTCCTCTGAGGGCTCTAGCTACAGTCAGCTTTTCCCTGAAGATGGCCAGATGCTGGCCACCACATCCAGGGCAGAGCCAGCAAGAGCCCAGGACCAGGCTGAAATCCCTCCTGGCACTGCCAGCTTTCACCCAGCTCCTTTGCTAACTCGTCCTCACCGGGCCTCCAGCCACACACAGCTTGGAGAAAGGACACTCTAGTTAGCAGCCTCTCCTACTCCAGGGCCTCTCAAAACTCAGCCCAGGGGCCTGTGCCAGCCTCCATGAGCCATTAACAGCTTGGCTGGCAAAGCAGCTACCAGGAAGTTCAAGGGCAGAAAGCAGATTGCCAGAGCACAAGGCTCCACAGCTCTTTTGCCCTGCGACAGTCAAGAAGTAAGGATGAAGACCTCAAACGACCCCATTGCTCTGTCATCCTGCCACCCCCTCTGCCTCCAGGTAGAAATCTCCCTGCTGTCCACATCCGGCCAGCCCTCAGGTTCCAGGAAACTTGTCCGGGCACTTAAGAGGCAGTTTACTCCCAGGTTCATAATCTCTCCAGACTTTGCCCATCCAATCTAGGCCGCCAGGGAGCAGGGATGCTGCCGGCTCAGCCCGGGCCACCTCAGAGACAGGACGGGGGCCTGGGCGAAGGCAGGCTGGGGGTTGAAGCCAGACCTGGCCCTGAGCCTGTGAGCTGGAAAGCCAGCCCCCGAGGTTCCGACCCCACATTGCTCGAGTCCGCTCCCGACTCCCGCCTGGGCTGCAGGGTCCGCGGGGCACCGGCCCAAGGTCAGCAGTGCAGCATCGCGCGCACTCACCGGGTTCGGGGGACAGGGCCATGCCGCGGGCCTAACGGGGGTGACTGCAGGGCTGCAGGGCTGCAGGGCAGGTGAGGTGCTGCGCCCGGCGCACACCAAGCGCCGCGGAGCCGGGCTGCCGGGCACTGGAGCCAG